ATTTAATCATAAAACATTACTTTTTTATCCAATTTTTTTTTATATTTACTATCTTAATCTTAAAATTAATTTAAGAATTTTGAGATTCAAAATTTTGACTATTTATAATTTCCTAAATTTTATTTGAAACAGTTCGATGATTCAAAATTTTAACTATTTATAATTGCCTAAATTTTATTTGAAACAGTTCGATTACAGAGTGGCTACTGACACATGCAGTGCGAGTGTGGGGCCAGCCATGTCATTTGACACAAGAATCCAAATGAATGGCCTCCCCATTAGTGTTTACGCACCAGAGACCGTTGGATGTGTTGTTGTTGATAGCAGCGGTGGCTGCGCAGCTACCACGTCGTCAGGCGGGCTAATGAACAAAAAATGTTGCCGCATAGGTGACTCACCTCTAATTGGTGCGGGAACATATGCTTGCGATCTATGCGCAGTCTCCTGTACGGGTGAGGGCGAGGCGATAATCCGTGCGACACTCGCACGTGACGTGGCGGCGATTATGGAATATAAAGGGTTGGCTTTACAGAAGGCAATTAATTATGCCATTAAGGAGAGATTAGATGGAGGAAAAGCTGGGGCTATTACTGTGAGTAAAGATGGGGAAGTGGCTTATGGGTTTAATTCAAATGGAATGTTTAGGGGATGTGCTACTGAGGATGGATTTATGGAAGTGGGGATATGGGAGTGATTAATAAATTAGTTAATTAATGTGTTTGTTAATCGATTTAATGGAGCTGGGAATTTAGGAGTGAGTGATTAATGAGTGTTGATTAATTACCCTTAATGTGTTAATCCACCTTGTAAGCTTTGTTTAATTTAGTGATGGTTGTGAGGTAATTATAAAATGATCTTTTTTTTTTTACATATATACATATTATCCACATGATGAACTTGATGATAAGTGTATTACCAAGTATCCAACTCTTATGAATCCAGGGAAGAATGATGCGATGCGTTATAAGGACTACAAGAATACTTAAACCTCATCATTATCGTTCTTTATTATTTTATCTCCACTACTTTATGTTTTAGTTTTAATCATTTTCTTATATTTTTAGTATGTTAGTACTTTATAATGTTTAGGCTTATAAAGAAAGAAGATGAAATAAACTACGAGAAAGAAAAGATGAAAGACAATTTTCTTCTCTATCCTGCTATTTCCTAGATAAATTTTTACGTGCTATAGAATAATATACTTTTGAACACACTGTGTACACTCACCTATATGGACGTAACTCTACATCCATACTCTGCATGTATTAATTTTTCTTCTTCTTGGCAGTGGTGGTTAGTTCAACAAAAAAAATTGTTACACTAGAAATTATTTGTTATTCATATATAAAAAATCATAATGTTAAAAAAGCATACATATATGATATCTTAATGCCCATCATTTAAGCAACTTCAATCAATTGATAATCTTTAAGCTCACATGCTAGTGATGGATGATATATCATATTATCAACATCATTAAAGAAAATCACTACACTACTATAAGAAGAAAGTCTATTTTAGGGTAACATCAACTTTGTTTGCGACAACTTTAAACCACTATTTTTCCTTGATTTTAAGAATTTTTTTTATACAAAAATATAGTTTTACAAAGCAATAAGAAAGTCATCCCAAACAAAGCCTTCAACTATAAATTTATGGGTATAACTAAAGTCAAGAAACCTTTCCACTATTCCCGATTGGTGTTAGCCTAAATGGATCATCAAACATTTCTATACAAGAAGATATGACCCCTAATAAATTGGTTTAACACTCCATATTCAAACACATCTTACAAACATCATAGCATGGCCTTTTAAAACGAATCATCATTGTGGGATGATTCTAACATACAACAAACTTTAAATTAATGAAAAAAAAATACAAATCTATTCAATCTATCATTGGCCTCTAAATAGTTTCCAATACACAGATTCATTATCTACTTCTCTAATTTCCAATACACAGATTCATTATCTACTTCTCTTTGTGTAACATAATTGCTCTCTCTCAGATTGATGTCAATATCAGCTACTCTTCCAACTTCAAATATCATCATCCGCTACATAAGTTGCTTTACTAAAACTCCTCAACAGTGAGCCCCAAGAGAACAACTTTACTTGCAAACTCTTCGGCTCTTTAAAATTCTGAAGAGTTGCCCTCAATGAGTGAGTGAGCCACACAAAGGACAGTGAGCAAATGAGTTTCCAACCTCTTTAAAGTTTCCTAATAGTGGCTCACACTGAACGAGTCCCACGAATTCTGATAAATAATGAACATTTTAATTCATCAAAAGTCCCCAAAAGCGCTTCCAACAACAAGCCCAAAGAGGTAGATAATAAAATAAATTCCTAAACTTTTTATAAGTCCTTAAAATGACCAACCATTGAGCCGATTGAGCCGATTGAGCCATTGAAAGCAAGTAATTGAATGAGCTTTCTAAGAGTTTATTTGGGATGATTGCATCATTTTATAAAATTGACTGTAAAATAATTATGAGCAAAATAACATAACTATTTTGGTTATAAAAAAAATAACTTTCTATCACATAAATTTCTAAAAACGTATCGAGTAAGAAATATCCAAACAAAAGATAGCTTCAACATTCAAAGGTTCAACCAAGGGTTGCATCAAATAACTTAATAATTATTTGATTTTTAGATATGATGCATTAAAAAAATGATTCAATAACAATAATTTTATTAATTTAATGTATAACATCCTGAATATTATGCATATGTTCCTGAATAAAATTTTTAGTCACTTTCACTATGCTCTATATATATAGCTATATACTTACATAAATGCATGCAAAATATTTGAAACACTATTACTGGATTAGCATGTCAAATGACTAAAATTTTAAAGAAAATTTATCAACAATTCTTCCTACATTTATAAGAATTTCAACTTCAAAGAGCTCAAGAATTAAAAAATTACGATATTAGATTTACTTCAATTATTTTTTTAATATAAATATTTCATTTCTAGCCATCTAATCTAAAGTAAAAAGTTATAATCCATCTACATCTAACATATTATCTGTCAATAGTAAGTCTAACACATCAGCAAGCACTCAGTAAAAATAATCAAATGATTAGGATGAAGCTAACGATGCTGATGAAACATAAGGAAATATCCAGAATTTTGCAGATTTTGTGAAGGTTTTAAATTATGATACTGAAAGTTCATCAAATCCTATAAAATTCATACAAAAAATGTATTAGAAATACTTGCTCCTTTCTTTTGCTTGTGCCTGATTCATTCATAGAGAGGAAAAAGAGCCAATAATTCTTAATAAGTGTTTTAGATATACTATCGATTCTTACAAAGGATAGCAATGTATAGTATTATTTAGTCATAGTGTTATTTTTTCAAGGGCATATATACAGAGACCACCAAAAGAAACACAGAATCAAGTAGAAAGTACTTATACTGAAGCAAGTTATTTGATAAGAATGCACCTAATTGGTGAGCCCTCTGCACCACGCAACCTCAGAGGTAAACAATGTAAGTCGTAGAGTCCAGGCTGAACATTTTCTAGTTTTAAGCCTTCAACGATGATGATATCCTGAGTCAAGAGGAAAAGAATTAGATTAAATTCACTGAAAATAGAAGTGATGTGGACATCGACCAGAGGTTCAGACATGTGTATCGCCGTAGACAGCGCAGATCGATGGCTGCGATTCAGAGTTTATATTTCTAGTTATTTATGTATTTCTTTTATGCATTTTTCTTTTTTATTTCCTATTGTACCCTTAGTATAAGCTGAGTCATGAGTGTAGCCCCGAGGGCAAAAGAGTCATTGTATTTCCTTTTGTGTTGGGACCTATATATAGGTCATTTCATGTTGTATTATGGTTAATGATAATTGATTAAATTTTTTTTTCTGAATTTCTTCTTTGTCTTCTTGCTTGAGAGCTTGAGAGAAAGAGAGGCCTTGGAGAGGCTCCGCCCGAAGTACCCAACAGCCCACTATGGTGAGCTCTTGGTTTTATCTTGCTTGTTTACTGTTTTTCCCTCCTTCCCTCATCCCGTTCCACCCACCCGATCCTCCCCTCCTCCCTCTCTAAATCCCCTGCAGCCGACCCCTTCCAATTCATCCCAGACCGCCGACCTTGCCCCCTCTCCCGTCCGGCCACCTCCTCAAATCTACCCCAGCCTACCCATAGCCCACCGGCCACCTGCTGTCCAGCCACCTCCTGTGGTGTCAACCCGCCGGCCACCCCTTTGCCCAAGCTATGATGATGAATTCAATCATCATAATGACCCCTTGATTATTGCCTAGTATTAAAGAAGGGAGTTACAAGTTTTGAATTTCAAAATTTTGAAATTCAAAAACTTTCCATTTTTGATTCCTCTAAAAAAGGAAAGTTTCATGATTGATTTAAATCAAATCCCATGACATGTGGATTTATTAATTTTCATCCTAGGTGGCCTTGACCCAATTGGAAAGAGCATACCTCCTCCCTAATTTCCTCTAATCCCTCTCATAATGCCGCCGGCCCCATAGGGGGTTTCACCATTAATTCTCCCTTTAATGCCTCTTTACATTTGAAATCGAATTGATTTCAAAGAGAAATTTCCCTCCAAATTTACTTAAATCTGAAGTTAATTTCAGAATTAAGTAAATCCCTCCTCCTTCTCATCTAACCTATTGTTGCTCACCCCAAGCCCGCCGCCCCTTCTCTCTCCCCACCTTGGCCGTTTCTTCCTCTTCCCGTCAAGGCTGTTTTTGTTGTTCATAGCATTTGGGAGCAAGGGAAGAACACGGCGTCATTCAACCGTCATCTCAATGTTGAATGGCGGATCCGGAGTTTGAGTGGGGATTCGTCTTCAACACCGACGGAAGCATTAACATCTTGCGATCGTCGTGCTTCGACGTAGGATTTGAAGACGAGACCAGCATGGAAGAGTACTTGGAGAGAGTCTTCCCGATCCTTGCAAGCATCTACGACCGACAACTTTCAAAGAACACTTGGAGTCTCGAGAACCAAACATTCACGCCCTCCTCATCACCGTCAACCCCTCCGTGGCTAAAGGCCATTGGTGTGGCCACCATCTTCGTGGCATCGTTGAGTTTGCTAAAGGCCTTCTCCCGCTAACCCGAATTGAGTGTGAGTGATCAAGGTACTCATTGTGAAATTTCTAAACATTAGTCGTGTGATCTTATTAATTTTCCGCATTCGCTTTGTTGTGAACCTTTGAGATTCATTATTAATTGTGCCTAAACACTAGCTTGAAATTGCTTAACATAATAGTTCTTCAATGGAAAATGCTTGAATCTTAAATTACGAAAGGCCTAATCTTACTTGAGTAAACTTTGTGAATCTTAATGAATTTCATGTGCAATTCTTGAATGTTTCACATCATATTTGGTATCAGAGCATGGCTAGCATGCTATCCCTTTGCTAGATTGCATCCTAGGAATCCAATTTAAGTTATCCTTAGCTTGTTTGCATGCATACCATCGCATAGTAAATTTTTTCACTGTTTTTGCTTGCTGTCCTTTAAATTTCTGCATCATTTTCTTCATGTTAAGCTAATCTATTTCATTGTCTAAGTGCTGTCCTTGCCTCATCCACGTCACAAACTGTTTAGGTTGCTTAGACAAACACCTGAGTTTGCTGGCCACTCACTTTCTGCACTTAGTATAGCCTGTAGGAGGAGTTCTAGGTAGTGTCCAGCTGCTGTCCACTGTTTTCTGCAGCTGTTAGACGTCCGTTAGTGAGCCTAGAGTCGCTGCTTAGGTGCTGCCTAGACCCGGGATCCTAGCCGAAACACTTAGGTGACTTTCCCCTCGACTGTGATCGCTGCCCAGCGATTTCCAGCTGCTGTAGCCTAGATTTCAGCAAGCATTTCGGTAGGGTTAACTGCTGTCCTTGACTTAGGAAGTCTTCCTAGTGACCCCTAACACCCAACCATGGATCCTACCCATTTGCAAACCACTTTAGACATGATTATGGGTCAATTAGGAACACTTACACAACAAATGAAGGATACCCAAACGAGTGTAGCTGAACTTAAACGTCATACGGGTGAAAGACTAGACAATATTGAAAGAATGGGACATCCGGCTACCTACACACCTTCTAGACCTCACTCACCATATGGCGAAGCAAGAACTGAAAGGAAATACCTTCCCCCTCATATTACCCAAGACTTCTAGATCGTTGGAATAGGTTAACCCAAGGAAGCAAGACCGTCAAGGAATATATCTCGACCTTCGATGATTTCCTGATTCGTTGTAACGGAGAAGAGACCACCACTCCTACGCAACTCCTGTCAATGTTCAGAGCCGGATTAAGAGAAGACCTTCGAAATGAACTCTTTGCTAGAGGAGCGAACACGTACGAGGCTGCCTGTAGTCTTGTGCTAGACTTAGAAGAATCAAGGAGCCACGCCACTAGGACCCAAGACTCTAGACCTAATCCCTTCAAGTCTTCCTCTAGCCAACCGTACAACAAACCCACTGAAAATAGAAGAGTAAATATATTAAACAATGCATTGAGAATGAAGTATCTACTGGAACATAATTAAGGAGCCGAAAGAGCATAATTTGAAAGATTTCTATGAACGGCAATGCAGTGGCTTATAAAAAGAACAAACTGAGCCTATAACGGATTGGAATCTTGTAATTTCTGATACTAAAATCTAACAATATTCTTTGTCCTTCTCTCTCAAGATCTCTCTTTCACTCTCTTCCTTCTATTGGCTCAAACCATGCATGTCAATAAGATTTTGATCTCACCAACAACAGATTTCGATCCAAAAAAGTTATAATTATGATTAATACACATTATATGTGAATTGGACCTACACAACTGAGTAGGACAATAAACAATCAGTAACTTAGCCATGAATTAGATTAGTGCCTAATAATAAATAATATAATAAATGTTACTGGAAGCTACGAAAAATCCTTCGGACAATTCAGCAGAGCAATATGAATCAAATTGCCGGGGATGGTTCAACTCAGCAGCTGACCATAACCTGGCTTTAACTTGATTTGGGCTCCTAGGAACTGAGGAGAAAATAAAAGAATGACTTGTAGAATTTTTCATTCTATTTATGAGGATGAATTAAATGGAATTATGCAAATTATTCACATTTTACCACTTAACCTGCTTATAAGGATTCGAAACCAAAAGATAAAATCTTTTACAAGGCATAAACTTCAGATAGATATCATACCCTCTTTTTAAGTAAAACCAGATGAGACGGGATCAGATCATCAAATGCAGCAATTGACAAGTAATCAATACCTAAACAATTTGGTAAGAAAAGAAAAGGAATTAGCAGGACAATGAGAGAACATTCCAAGATATATTTATCAAACATGGTAATATGGAGTGGATGGATATTCAGTGATAAGTGGTTTTAAAATTAATGAAAACAAAAACCTAGCTTTCTAAAAATATATTAACTACAAGCAACCAAATGAACACTCAGAGGAATTTCACTTTGATGTGCACTTCTAAAATTTTGTGTGTGAATTAATTACAGCAAATCAACTAGTCAGGGGTAAATGTATTGCTTTTCACAAGTCCACGAATATGGCATACACTGTACAAAAGTGGAATCTAAAATATGATAAAAATTATACAAAAGGAGTTGAATGAAAATGGACAATTGAATATATGTTCATTGATAGTATTTCCGTGAAGTGGTTTCCATTTAATGGTGTCAAAAGCAAGAGGGATCAAAGGTAGAGGACTTAGCAACCGACCCGCAAAACATGAGTGACGAAAGGTTGGGGCAAAAATATAGGTACCAAATTATAAAATATAGACTACAGAAATAATTCTGGTGACCCAACAGACATGTAGTAAAAGTTGTACCAGGGGTAATTGCTTCTTTACAAAAGCCTTGGCATAAAAACAAAAATATAAAATAAGTCAATGAAGTTAACATGTATTTTGGCTCACCAACAAATTTAATATCAGTGTTATCAACCAGCCATTGTGCACCATCCTTCATAAACCCAACATAGCTTGTATCAAACTCTTTCTTCCACATGAGTTCCCTAAAGTAAATTGGTAAAATTTCAGATGAATGTTTCAAACTAAACTAATTTTCATTATTCTCCAATCTTACAATCAAAACAAGATAAAAAGAATCCCAAACTTCACCATATTAATATTAATAGTGGGAATACGAAAATTGAGAAACTATTGTTATCATAAGATTAAAGAGAGGAACAAAATTCTAACTTCAACAAAATTAGCATAACGATCCAAAATCAAGTGCATGCCTATTAAAGAATCATCGCTATTAAAAGAAATATACAAAGTAGCGCGAAAAGAAGCACCACTCAAATGAATGTGCAGTTGTGCCAAAGGAACTTTAACGAGAATAAAAAAAGGTACAAAAAATAAGTAAATGAGGGATTTTTTTTTTTTTAATTTAACAAGATCATTTAGAAGCTCCAGATCCTAACATCAACATGCTTGGAGTGGCACCTTCATTGAGTACTTTGATTCACCTGAAGTGATTTCAGGCAAAATCACGTGAAACACTAATCCAAAATGCACACAAAATATTACAAGAACCATATTGACGCAAGTCATTTTCGGGTCTATGGCTCCTAATCAAACTAAATGATGCAACGTATGAAATAACAAAAACTAGATTAGGAATTCATAGTTCCAAAGACCGCCAATAAAAATAAGAAATGCATCTTGCTTTGATGTGACAAAAAAGTATGAGAAATCTGAGCCAAATAATAATTAATGGTTGCACAATCAAAGAAATTCAACAAGAAACTTAAAATCATAAGAAGTCGATTAAGATTTGATAAAAAAAAAAAGTCAATTGTGATGAATATGACTAAAATCAAGCATGCTCTCAAAAACGAGTAATGAATTACATGGATAGCTGCAAAACAAGATGCTTAAGTCAAAATTCTACCCAAATAGTGGAGTTGATATGTTAGACCGGTCCACACGGGACCATCCAAGCACAATAGAGGTGGAAGATTTTCGCCTCTTCGGTATCCCGTTTGGACCACAAGAGACGACCGAACATTTTAGGAAGGACTTTTGAGGGTTTTGGGAGGAAAATTTGAATGTTGGAACTGTTCAGAGATTTCCTTTTGGATTGTATGCATTAAATAGTTTGTTTTCCTAGGGTTAGGGCATCTTGAATTTGACTGAAATTGGAGATCTCTTATATTTAGGTTTTCTTTTGGGCTCTAGCGGCGTCTAGAGATTTGGGAGAGATCGATCCTCCTCTCGAATTGAGGATCAATTGTATCTTACTATTTTCCATTTCTATTTCATCAAATAAAACAAATTTTCTACTGTTTTCTTAGTTTTGTGTGGATTCTTGTGGAGGATTTTCACTGTTTTTCTAAAGATCGATAGGAATTACTTGAGATATTCAAGCATTTCCTATCATGATACTTTCAGTTATCTAGATAAACATAAAAAGACTATAGGATCTGAAATTGCAAAAGATATTGCGAGGCTCAACAGGAGCCACATATAGGGCTGAACTTTGCCTTTGCATTCATTAAAAAAACTATAAAGGACTACAATGGCCTCAAGGGGACCCAAAAAGAAAAAAGACCCCTAACAGGGGGCGGAAACACCACTATCATCCTCAAGGATGGACAAAAATTCCTGAGGAATACATGTACTAACACTATCATCTAAGTTCCAAACAAAACTGTCCTCAATTGCTCTTTGAGCACAAAAATGAGCCACCGAGTTAATCTCCCTTCTCACATGAACAAAAAGGACCTTCTGGAGAGATCCCAACCAATCCAGACCACCCCCTGCATCAGGCCGAAGCTTCCAGAGTTCCCGCTCCTTGAACTTTTCCATATATTGAATAACACTGGCGTTATCCCCTTCAATAATAAGATCGTTCACCTCTAGCATCCACCCCACAAGCAGCTTTTCAATATAATGAATGGCCATTAACTCCACCTGGGTGCTATCCCAATGTGTGATACACCAGCCCGCAGCCACCACAAGTTGGCCCTGATCATCCCTAATGACAATACCGATTCCTCCCCTGTTGGAACGACGCAAGGCCCCATCGACGTTAATTTTCAGCCAACCATAAGGGGGGGCACACCATGATGACGAAGAGACCAATCCGGAGGATTGAAGGGTGAACCGTTGCTCCAGGCATGTAGAAAAATAAACGCGGGATAGAGACTCGAGAATATTGGCAGCCATGGCTGTAGGGGTGCTCCTAACCTTGCCATGTCGAATAGCGTTTCTATTATTCCAGCATCTAAAAACCGCACCACAATAGACACGGCCCCAAAAGTCCTTGGTGACACACAGGCTCTTCAACGCTTCTTGGAGTTCACCAAAGGAGGAGAATTGGGGAGTGGAAAAACCCCAGCCATCCAGGCACCGTCGGACATCCGCAAGCTGTCGGCAATGCGTTGAAACATGATCCAGATCTTCAGGAAGCCCACAGCCGACCGGGCATAACAGGTCCGTCCCTAACCCCCTTCGATGCAGCCAAGAGCAAGTTGGTAGAAGATCCTTATATGCCCTCCACCAGAAAATCCGCTCGCGTGGGCGAAGGCCAATTTTGAGGACCGGATACACCGGATCCTCCTCCTCTTGGAACAAGGACATGTAACAGATCGCAGAGATAGAAGTGCCAAGAGGGAACTTAATCAATTCAAGAGAATCGGCAGGGGATTCCGACCAAATTTTTATGTCACAGATAACATCCACAAGGGAGGCCCCAAAGACCTGCATCAGCTTGGTTCTATCCCACCTTCCATCGACCGTAAAAAACTCCCTCACCACATAGCCGTCCACGACATCAATATTGCAGAAAGTAGGCCATCGAGCAATGGCCAAGTCGTATATCCATACATGATTGATCACATCAATTTCAGCACCATTGCCGACCCGCCATCAGATACAATTAGCCAGGCTATTCGCCCTGCAACAAATCACCCTCCAAGCAGCAGAATCATCGCGTCTTTGGCCCCAGGACCAAGGCCAATCACCATACTTATGCCTTAAGCACCTATTGAGCAGGCTTAGCGGCTTGTTAAAAAAATTCCATGCAATTCGAGCTTGTAATGGGCCAGTCCACCGTCCGCTAGCATGGAACCCGAACCCCCCGAGTCGCCAAGGTTTGGTTAACGCCTCCCAACTAGCATAATGTAAGCTCCGATGATTGTGATCTTTGTTCCACAGAAAACCACGACAGATCTTCTCCACCAAGTCAAGAACACCTCTCGGAACCAGCATATGCGAGACAGCATAGACCGAGAGGGGTAACAAAACAGAGTTTACCATAGTAACTCTGCCAGCCAGGGAAAGATGTCTCACTCCCCAAGCAAGAGTCAGAGCACTAGACTTCTGCAATAGCGGGCTGAAATCCGCCTTCTTCAGTCTTCTAAGCGTGAGCTTGATTCCCAAATATTCCATCTCCTCGACCTTGCGGCAGCCGGCAAGTCTAGTCAGCAGGTGTTTGGTCGACGACGAGGTGATCTTGCTAAACATAATTGCCGACTTGCTCCTATTGACCCGCTGCCCAGTCCACGCACAATAATCCTCCATAATCGACATAATTTTCTTCACATTAGGAATGGAAGCACCTGCAAAACATAAAACATCGTCAGCATAAAGGAGGTGGGAGACCATAGGTCCGCCCGCCTTGAGTTGAACATCCATCTCCGGAAACCGTTGGTGGAATTGAAGTGATAGGAGCTCCGAGCAAAGAATGAACAGATAAGGGGAGAGCGGACATCCCTGGCGGAACCCACACTCCGCCGTAATAGCCCCCGTAAGCTGCCCATTAACCATAATAGAGAAACAAGGGGACTGAATGCAACTCAGGACCCAAGAGCGAAATTTGAGAGGGAATCCCATACGAGACAACACCAGCTCAAGAGTTCTCCAGCTCATTTTGTCATAGGCTTGTTCCATATCCACCTTCACAGCCATCCACCCAGGATTAGATCTCGAGACCTTGAATTTGTTCAGCACCTCCTGCCCGAGCAAGCAGTGGTCGGAGATTGACCGGCCCGGGACAAAAGCCGCTTGCTCCTCGGAGATAAAGTTGGGCAGTAAGCTTTGCATCCGATTCACAAGCACCTTCGCCACAATTTTATAGATGGTCTGACACAGACTGATAGGTCTGTACATAAACGGACGATCCGGGTTGCTAGTTTTGGGAATCAGCACCACCACTGTCTCCTTCCAGTCAGGATCCATACACCCGGTCGCGAAGAATTTCAAGCAAGCCGCCGTGACCTGCTTACCGACAATACTCCAAAAAGACTTAAAGAAAGAGGCCGTCACTCCATCTCCTCCTGGAGCCCGATTTTGACCAAGAGACCGAACCCCATTCCATATCTCCTCCTCCGTAACTTCCCTATCCAACAAAGTAGCCGCTGGTGCTAAAGTGGCGTACTGGAGGAGCCACATATAGGGAGATAACATAAAAGTGCTACAATAGCCCAAATGGATAGGCAACAGGGAATCTCCACCTCAGCCCAAGAAATCCATATCCTATCCTCTGCCTTGCTAGCCGAAGATAGTTCTTGAAGACCGATTGAAATATTTCCTGCTGTCAAGAAAAATTTCTCCCTTTCTCAGTCACCTCCTCACTGTCTTAGTCCTAAAACAGAAAAATTCTGCTGTTTATCACTCTTCCAGCCGTCCAGTCCCCTTTCCAGCCACTAGACAGTGCAAGAAACCCTTTCAAGAAGGTCGGGAGCTGCTGTTCTTCTTCCAGCTATCATGAAAGCTGCTGCCAACATGTTCTAGCCACTAATAACAGCAATTCCTTGTTCTCGGCCCAAAAACAATCTCCAAACCTAAGGGTTTAGGCGTTTAGCTCCATTGGTATATGTATATGTAATAAGCTCTATATTCTTTTTGTTATATTTTAAATTTGTTTTGGGTGGACCTGCTCTCTATTGTAAAATTGGTCAACATAATTAGTATAAATACCTCTCATCTTGTAAAGGCAAGACTATGGAATGAAAAATTATGATTTCACTCTTTCTCCTCCTCTTCTCTTGAAGTCTTCACCTAA